TCTTTTAAATTTTTATCTAGTTCATTAAACAAATTATCAAATAATCCAAAAAAAGATCATTTAAGAACTCTTTAAATATTTTCTCGGAGAACATTTAAATTTAGTAACTAAAAAATTACTTTATCCTTATAAATTTATTATTATGAACTGTTTTGGAAATTTTGATGAACTATTTTTACCTCCTATAAAATGTTTCTATAGTTCTCTTACCGATAAAAATATAACAATATATTATGTATATGAAAATTCATAAACAATTTGGGAAATATTTTATTTAAGTATTTTTTATCATTGTGAATTCACAAGTTTATATATTAAGATCAATGTTTAATTATTAACAGCTATAATGAAAATTTTTAAAGATATTTCTTTAAAACCTTATAAATAAAATCTTCTATTTTACTACACAACACTAGGATTTGCATGAAAGAGTTTGTTAAAAATTATAAATGTAAAATTGGATTCATTAACTGATATTGATATTGATATTGATCAGATTTTGATAATTAAATCTGATATTAAAGGTGGTTTATCATAATTTAGTCAGATATTTGAAAGTAAGCAATAAATATATAAGAAATAACTTTAATGAAAACAAGGAATCATATTTTATAGAGTACTTAGACATAAATTATCTTTATGATTGGGCAATGAGTAAAAATTTACTCAATAGAGATTTCAAATGGGTTGATAAACTGAATAAATTAAATATATTGAATATTTCTGATAAAACACCTAAAAGATATATTGCATAAATTGATTTATCTTATCTTAAAGAATATCAGGTTCTACATTCAGATTTCCCTTTAAGAAAATTTGATAATGAACAACTTCCAAAATTATTAACAACTTTATATAACAACAATATATATATATACACTTTAAAATTGTATGTTAAATTAAGTTTAAAACAAAAGAAAATTCATAATTTTAGAATTTAGTCAATTTACTTGGTAAAAAGTTTTTATTGATTTTAATACTAATCTCACATCAAAAGCTAAGAATGATTTTGAAAAAAAATTATTTTAAATTAATGAAGAACAGTATTTATTTATGTACACTATAGATTGTTTGAAATTGTGTTAATATAAGATTATTTTCTAATGGAAAATTAGAAACAATTAATTTTGAAACCAAATTTTGATAGCAGGACAATATGTTCACAAACATTTTAGTAGCAATTTATATGAAAAAAATCAAAATCAAATTCAAAAAACCAATTTGTATAGAGATGTATAGCTTACAAGTACAATTGGAATAGGGTTTCAGAGCTGGTAGAGATTATTGAAGAAACACTAAGAAGAGGAGTGAAATTGACAAAGGACAGTAAGACTTAAGGCAAATCAACAAAATACTAAACATAAGTAGCTATATGTTTTTGTTATGGACAAAAGGTCAAAACAGAGGGGATAGAGCCTTTTAAATCAATGTAATTTATTAGTGTAAGGGCTTGCAAGCAGAGAACTGTCCTATTGAAAATCAATTTTTTCTTTATGAATATATTTTTAAATAAATAATAGTGGTCAAAAGGAAGTAATGCACAGTTCTCTCCCAGTTTACTGATTATATATATATATATATAAATAAGATTCACTAGTAATAGATCATTTTGACACTTCTAATTAAACAAATATTTATAGATTAACTTCAGTTAATAATAAAGTATAAGATAAATTAAAAAATTAATTCAATGGTAAGATAATGACAGAATTTATAAGACTAAGATTAGAATTAAATTCACATTAACTGTAGATTTTTGGATTATTTTAGTAATCGATTAATCAATTTAATTAAAAAAAAATTCTAAAGTGTTTTGGGAAATATTTTCATAGCTAATTTCATTAATTTAATTTATAAGTGATCATTTAATTTAATAACCTTTTCTAACATTGTGTTCTTAATTTTATTATTGTGGTCTTTTATGATCTTAAGCTATGTGAAATTAATCAGAAACAATATTTTTTAATAAATTATACACAAAAGTTACCTTTAAATAAAAAAAAAAAAAAATTCTACATCATAATAAGTATAGGTATCAAGTATCAATTATTTAGTGTAAGGCATAACCTAACCCAACCTACTCTGGAACATATAAAACATCAAATAATAAGTGATTTGACCACATGCAACTAACAAGATCTCAAATAAATGAAACAAAATTATTTTCTGTTATGAATGAAAAATTTAACAATGAATCAAAACATATAAATGGAATCAAGAAAAACTATATACTGACATCACGACAGAAAATTTTCACTTGTCTTAAACCTTCATGCAATTTAATTTTCCAATCATTGAAAGTATTTAGAAACCATCATCGTGAACATTTTAAACTTCAGAATGGTTTAATGTGTTGGAAATGTTGTAACATATTTAAGGATGAGGGAAAGATTAGATGTCATCAATCAAAAGTTAAGGATTATCATACTTCTGGCATGTACAAATGCTCAAAATGTCCTGACAAATTTGATGATATGCAATCTTTAAGTATACATAAATTTACTTTTCATGATGGTGTTTTAGTAGCTGGTAAAAAAACAGAAAAAACTATTGAGTATGTATTGTGTAAACAGGAAATTATTATTTTCGACTTTAAATCTCATTTGGCCACTTGTAAAAAAAATTAGGTATCTCAAATCAAAAATTATAAAAAACACATAAAAATATGATTTTTAATAGTATTTCTATACTAAGAAAATTAATTGTATATAGTAAGAAATTATTTGTTTTAAGAAAATAAACTTATAAGCAATGTATGACATATTATAGACAATAAATATAATTTTTTATACTAGGGTTAAACTATTAATTTTATATAATATGAATTTAAAAATAATTTTTAATGAATATAACTCTTATTTTAACAATGGAAAATAATTTAGTTAATTTATTTTCAATTTTTTAATCAGTAGGTGGTCAGCTATATTAAGTTAAATTAAGGACATTATGTAAACCATGTTACAATTAAATTAAGTTTTTTAAATATATTTTTTTTTCAATGGTACTCAAACATAATAAAAAGGCTTGTCTATGACTGTTTTTTTATAAGTGTTGATATAATCAGCTTAGTAAATGCCCAAGGTATTTATGTCACAAAATCTCAAGAAAAAATAATATTTTTGTGATTTATTATTATGACTTTTAACTGACTGGTTAAATACAAAATTCACCCGATTAATAACTACCTATTAGATAATTATAGCAAAAATAATACATGATACATTATTATTTTAAAATAATAACTGTTTATTAGAAAAATGTTTCTGTAATTTTAAAGGATATAAATAAAATAGTGTTATATTAAAATTTATTTTCACAGGTCAACTCCTAAAGGATTTTTAAGCAAGAAGCCCCTTAGCTAAAAGACAAATACATATTTTATTCGATTTGGAAATGTTATAATATTGTAGTGGTATCTTTTGGAATCCTTGAGATCCTTTAATGCTGCCTTCTTCGGCTCTTTGACAAAATATAAATGTCTTTATTAATTTGCTAAATTAAAGACATAATATACAAATGTAAAAACAAAAGAAATCATTCTCTTTACCTAAAATAGTATTTCAAAATTATTTTTAAACTATCTTAATTTTTAAATTTTTTTTTTACACACATAATTTTCATATTTTTTTACTAATTGTTTTTGTTTGATATTACAAATGTTTTGTTGATGTTGTCTCATTCAATTTTTTTAGTCTATGGTTAGCTAAATTTACAACATTAATATTTATTTTTAATAACAATAGTGAATTTTTCAATGGTGGAAATATTAATGGAAAACATTTTTTTTATCAAATTAAGTTAGTTTAATGTTAAATTATGAGTTAATATTTAGCAAACAATATACTTAACGCTTTAGATTAAATAACTTAATTTTGTATTTTAACCATCCCTAGTCACATTAATAAAGCAATCATGAAACTTGAATTTTTTTTTAAAATAATAACTCAACATTTATGCATCTAAATTCTAAATAGCTGTATTAAGCCTAATTATGCAGTCTGGTAATGGATATGAGGACAAAACAATTGTGCTGGAAGTTCAAGAACTTACAACTGCAAGAGGAATTGAAAAGAATGACAGTCAAAAACTCAAAAAATGTATTAAATGCCAGAGAATTAAATTGTTAGGATATGTAATGTGATGTAGTGTGGTTTCAACAAAGTACACTTATTAAGTAACAAAAATAAATAAAACAAAAATAAATCATAAATTTTAGTTAAATTTAAGTCAGTCTAAAGACATTTTTTTAAAAGACAATTATTTATGAATTTCGAACAAGATAATTTATAAAATTTTATGATTTCGACGAATTTTGTAGAAATTTTACTTTAACAAAATAAATTATTGAAACTGTTTATTTTCGACATTTTTTAATTAGTAAATGAACGACTCATGAAAAAACTGTGCATCAAAATTTTATGTATTTTTGCTCAGTGATAATTTATTCATATCGATTCATTTTATTGACATTTATATTATAGTCTCACGATTTTCACAAAATCTCTTTCAGTTTTTCCGGAAAACACCTCATGAAAGTAATTTTATTAAATTATCGAACCGTATAAAAATAAATAAATTCAGAAAATATATTAAATTTAAAATGAACATTATTAAAATGCGATTGTTTGTAATTTTGTATCTCACAGTTTACAGAATTTTTGGCTTTTGCTTTGCCTTGTTTTTATTGATTCTTCCAAGAGATTTTAACATGTTCTTTGTAACGGTCAAAGAACCAAACCACGTCAAACTTCGTCCAATCAAGTCGACGTATAGAGTTTACAAATTTGATTTGTTATATTTTGTTCCATAACTACAAAAAACAAATAACTATTGATTACAACATCATGCTTTTCGTAACCGTCAAAACTCAAAAGCCAGTGTCGCCAGCCATTCGTTTTTGATCCTTTGTCTGTTGCCTATCCGTACTTGACTATTGCCACTCGAAACGTCTGTTTTAATATTTCGATACCTAGAATAATATTACTCGAAAACTATTCACCATGAGTCAGATACATTTGAACAATGAGAATATCGATCTCTGCAGGATTTGTTTGATGGAACCAGAGTCCAACAGAAATATTGAGTTCGTAAACATTTTCACATCTTCTATTGGAGATTTAACATTGAGACAAAAGTATGAAGAACTATTGGGAATCGAAGTACGTACATAAGTAAGATATGATAAAACAATGAAATTAAAACGATATTTTTAATTATCTTTAGATCGGTTCAAACGACGTTAAACCAAAAATTATATGCAACAACTGTTACAAATCATTGTCATCTTGGGATAAGATGAAAAGAAAAGCGGCCGAATCTGAAACAATTATTAATTACATTGCTGTAAAAAAAGTAAGTGTTGATATGTATACTTGTTTTCATTTTTTTATTTTAAATTTAATATGTTAGTACCAAACTTATCTGCAAAGTTAGATTTATATTTATTTTTAAAATCTTTTGACATAATAAGGTATTAAGTCAAATTTTAGAAACTCATAAAGATAAAGGCATATTCTAGGTATGTATTTCACTATTTTAATGTTTGATTACTCATTTAAAAAAAACGTCTCATACATGTATAAAGTCTATTTTAAAAGTGTGTAACTGAAGAAATTTAAACATGATTCTAAAATGATAGCTGCGTTAGCTATTACGCGGGACCGCATCAGCTTAGAGTTTTATTATCATAGATACATTTCTGATACATTGTAGATAATAAAATAAATTACAACGGGTACTATAATACTTAAATTGATGATAAAATTCAACAAAATAATTAAATTATGTATAAAATCAGGTGTGTGGCTATAATAGATTTGTTGAAATTTAAACCAAAAACAAATAATTGTAAATGATAAATTATAGTGAGTAAAGGGTATGTTTGTACAAAGTTATGTGTCTACATTTTATAATACTAACTAATAAGTATAATTTATATAATATTTTAGTTATTATTACATTTTTAACTGACTACAAAAATGTGTAAATTTTTTTAATGTTTACAAATTTTTATATACACTGTATGAATTTTATATTTTTGTTTTTAGTTTGGAGCTACTAACTCTGAATCAAATAATAAGCTATTGGACCACACACAACCAACAAGACCTCAAATAAATGAAATCGAGAAAAACTACATACTGACATCACGACAGAAAATTTTCACTTGTCTAAAACCTTCATGCAATTTAATTTTCCAATCATTTAAAGTATTTAGAAAACATTATCGTGAACATTTTAAACTTCAGAATGGTTTAGTGTGTTGGAAATGTCGTAAAATATTTAAGGATAAGGGAAAGATTAGACGTCATCAATCAAAAGTTAAGAATTGTCATACTTCTGACATGTATAAATGTTCAAAATGTCCTGACAAATTTGATGATATGCAATCTTTAAGTATACATAAATTTACTTTTCATGATGGTGTTTTAGTAGCTGGTAAAAAAACAAAAAAAACTATTGAGTGTGTATTGTGTAAACAGAAAATTATTATTTTTGACTTTAAATCTCATTTGGCCACTTGTAAAAAAAATATCTCAAATCAAAAATTATAAAGAATACATAAAAATATGATTTGTAATAGTATTTCTACACTAAGAAAATTAATTGTATATAGTAAGAAATTATTTGTTATAAGAAAATTAACTTATAAGCAACTTATGACATAATAATATAGACAATAAATATAATTTTTTTATACTAGGGTTAAACTATTTATTTTATATATGAATTTAACAATAATTTTTAATAAATTTAATAACTCTTATTTTAACAATAGAAAATAATCTGGTTAATTTATTTTCAATTTTTTAATTATTAGAAGAAATCAACTATAATGTGTTAAATTAAGGATATATTAATATTTGTTTTTAATAACAATAGTAGATTTTCTAATGGTGAGAATATTAATGGAAAAAAATTATTTTTATGTTAAGTTGTGAATTATATTTAGCAAACAGTGTACTTAATGCTGTAGATTAAACAAGTTAATTTTGTACTTTAACTATCACTAGTCACATATATAGTATAATTATGAAACTTTTTTTAATAATAACTTAACATTTATGTATCTAACCCTTGTGCAAACTAAATTATGAAATCAAGGAATACTAATATTTTTATTATTATGTATTTTAAAAAAACAGACCTAATGAGTTATAAAATTATAATATTATATTATATTATTAAAAAAAATCATAAAAATTGAAGGTAAGTTATCTTTACTAGCATAGATAAAATAATTGAAAAATTATTGTTAATACATTCTGAATTCGATATTTAGCATGTCAAAATGTTAATTAACAGTGTACTATAAAAATATATTCGTAAGTTCAAAACTTGCCTAATAATAGTTATACTTTTAATATGTAATAATATTTTGATAAATTTCAATAAATACAGCTTACTAACTACTTAAACAATCAACAATAACTGATGTTGAAATTATTCCAATAGTTATTTGGTATGAATATGTAAACCTATATCCAGAGTGCGCAAATACACCTTGTCTAAATTCTATACATAGATTTTATATAATATATTAGTATACTACACTGGTATTATAAATCATAATAAGCCTTCTTAGGAAACTTTATAATTTATGTCATCTGGTGTTCTACATTTGTATTTTTTTAAATAAATTCTTTTATTTCTTACATTTTGTTATTTAATATTGACAATGATATCGTGTAACAGACAAAGTCCAGTTAGGTCGTTAGGATATTAAGGTTATTTTAACTTTTGTTAGATATCATAACAGTATTTTTATTAAAAACAAAACTAATGAAGTAATATTTGGGACCTATTATCATTACAAATAATATAATCAATGCATATAGTATGTACTAAATTTAATGTTCTGCAAATTAATTTTAATCAATTTTAGATTTTGACTCTTGAGCTGAGTGATGACAGAATAGATTTTAGAACGATGTGTGGTTTATATTTGTGTCAGTGATTACTTTTAATAATCGATAAAATTCTTTAATCTTCAACTTTGAAAGTGATTTTAGAAATCAAATTGGATCTAGTTTGTACTTTAAGAGAGCTCAAAATATCCAGTACTTTTTTTTATAATCAGTAAAAACAAATGAAACAAGTAGGCAAATGGGTACTGCTATGCTGTGCAATAGGTAACATGTGGTCACTATATAATATGGACGTGTTAAAATTTGAATTCAATGATAATAATTGCAATTGAAAAATGATTCTGTGTGGAAACGGTTTGTCATCCCATTATATAACCAAGTATATATTTTAATGATATAACTTTTTTAAAAAAGACATTAGAGTAATTTATTTTGAAAACTAACAACAAAAGCATGAAAATGTTCTTAACGTACCTACATTGGCGCAACTAGGGGGGGGGGGGCTTGGGTGGGCTAAGCCTACCTAATTTTATCTGTAGCCCACTCAATTTTATATGTTATCAATACTAGTGGTGTAGTGTAAGCCCTTACAGGTTTGCTGATAACAATTTAGCATACCCAGAAATAGAGCTCAAGTTGCGCCTATGCGTACCTACTGTCCTTAATCACAAAAAGCAGTCAAATAATACAAACAATTTTTTTTAATTATGAAATGAATAATATATAGTACCTATTTTTTTTTTTTAGTTTTAATTTTTAAGTATATAATATGTATTATACAAAAAACATGTTTAAACATTAATTCATATTATACTATAATCTTTAAGTGTAAATTTACATTCTACAAAATATTTACCTAATATATGAGATTTTTAACACACAAGTATGTATATTCTTTTAATTCAAAAAAGTTTGAACGTAAAATATCTATAAAAACAATTGTCTTTACATATTTTTAAAGTTTTATGGCTTAAACTACTTATGAAAAATGTTGCATTAAATTTTCAAAAATTAGGTATCTATTAAAAGAAAAGTTCTTATGATTTTCTAACTATATAATAGTTTTTAATTTTTAATAGATTTAAAAAATGTCGTCAAAATTCTTCAAAATATACATAAAAAATTACTAATATGCCAATTTTTTTTTTGATAATTTTATACAAATTTAAAAACAACTATGTGCAATCTTAATAATTTTTTATTAATATTTATAGAAATAAAGTTGAAAAAAAAAATCAAAAATTTCTCATGCCTATACATGACATAAAAAAGTCAAAATATTTTAAAAATTATGAAAACTAAAAAAAAAAATCTTTAGGAAAGAAATAGTTATTAAACGGAATATCTGTTTTGAAAAATTTAAATTCAAACTGCAGTTTAAAAAAAGTAATCTGATATTTTGGTAGATTTTATGATAATAAAGGTTACATATCGCAATAAAGAACCTTGTAGGTATTCAATTTTTAAATCTTAAGCATAAATAATAGAAATGCTTTTATAGATTTCCAATTATAAAATAAATTTTAATTTTCGATATTTTGACATGTTATTTAAAAAATATATAGACAATTATTTTTTACAGACATTTTAAGTTCAAATTTTGACAATACTAAGACACATAACTGTCTCGACTTTGTCAAACGATCAGTGATAAACATTTAAATTACTGATGCTCGAAATGTTTATCAGCTGTGTAAGCAGCACACGTTATGTGTTGCAATGACAGCTTAAAACTCTACTTATTTAGTTTGTTGATCACGTTTATGAATGTGGCAAACAACTTATGTAAATATGTATATAAAAACGTTTGTTTTAGAAAAAAAAAACTGTTTAGTTGAAATAAAATAATAAATTTGTTTCAAATTTTGGTAAAACATTTAGGTATATTATTTGAACTATTATAGTCAGAAATTTTAATCGTCTACTTACAATATCAGTTGTTTCCGCAGACGTAGATTTCATAGTCGTACTTAAACATAAATTATTTTTGAGAATATGTTTATTAAAAAAGCATTTATTTGCGAGAGCAGGGAGTAATTTTTATTTTTCAACGTGTAATGTTTTTAATTTTCTTTTTAAACTTTCACTCAAACGTAGACGTTTAGACATTATTGCAATAAACAAAACAGTAGGTAATAATAATTGAACATATAAATGTAGGTAACACAAGGAAATTTAAATTTAAATATTAAACTATTAAGTAATAACGTATAAAATGATTAACACGCATGTAACGAGACAACTACGGCACGAGCAGTAAGTACACTGTAGTCTGTACACGACGTACGATATTGCGATTATCATTGAAAATTCATTATTGAACCCCACAAAGCCTAAGCGATAGTCTCTATCTTGGAAATAATATTCTTCGAATAACTCATGCGCACAAGGTATGACAACTAGTTTTTATAATTAACTGCCCGATTGGAAAACCAATTATGTCTATTATTAGATAATATTATACATACAAGGTAATAAACGACTTCGCTGTAATTTTTTTTTTCGTATTTCAAATCAAATTATTTTCAACATAAATATAATTTTACTAATATAAAAAAAAAATTCTTAATATTTTTCAGATACTAATACATTTTTTGACTCCTGACTTGAGAGCAAAATCAATATTTTAGTGTATGTTAACAATAAAAAAATGAATTCGACTAATTTTTAATAAATGTAATAATACAAGTTTCCACCTATTTTTTTTTTTTTTTAATTAATTGATTTAATACTAGCTTCGATATACCCAGGTAACAGGTCTAAAATTATTAAACAAATATATTTTTACAGGATCGCAAGAATATCATGCCACGTATACAACACATTTTCGGATTTTGGTTGTCATGAAAATAAATGTTTGAATAAATACGGGTGTTTGGTAGACGATGTAATGATTTTGTTCGTTAAATACAATGAAAATATAACATTTATTTATGTTTCGATTTTAAAATACTATTTCAGCTCACTGAGTGATTTAAAAATTTTGTATAATTTCAAGCTAAATCAAAATGCCATATACTCCGATTAATAAGTGTTTACCGGTGACTGTAGACATACGTTTGCAGCACAGATACTCAGACATTGCAACGAACCTTTCGCGTACAACACATTTTAATAAAATAGAAGTGCTGCGATTGCTACAGTTGCATTACATGCTAACAAAAGAAAATACAGTACCTATGGATAAGTTAAGTTTCATTCAATTTATGGACGTTTTTTTGGGGGTAAGAAACGTAGACGCCGTAGATAAAATATTTCTACTCAGTTGCGAAACAAACAAACAATACTTAATTGGACCTGAGTTCGTCAGGGTATTGTCAATGTTATTAAAAGGAACACTGCCCGATTTGATAAACTTTTGCTTCGAAGTTTACACAGAAATGATCAGGTCACCCAAATATATTAAAAAAGAGGACGTTTTATTGATGGCCAGAAGAAACAGCATGAAAATGTGTAAAATAATCAATATGGAGGAATACGATCAAAGTTTCGTGGATTTCGTCATGACTGAGGTCGACAAGGATCGTGACAACAGAATATCACTGGAAGACTACCGTAAATCTGTACACGAAAATGTCGCTTGGTTACAGTTCTTGGGGCAAGTCCTTCCAGCGTCTTCCAAAAAAGAAACATTTATGCGATTATTTACGAATCGACCATATGTCAACAATATACAGACTACAGCTGCAGCGATAACTCGTAAAAACAGGGAGAGTATTGCTAGGATGAAATCTACAACTAGCCAAATTGATAACATCGCTAGTAGTACATCATTTTCCAGCGATTCTACTTGTTTGATGATTAACCGCGGCATTCCTCTATCTAATCGTAGAAAAAATCAATCAGCATCAGATGGAAATTATTTAACATTGTTTTAAAAAATTACAGATGTGTGGCAAATATGTAAATAATAAATGTACATTTTTCCTGCTACAGATTATCCTCTACTCTGAAAGTCTAGAAATGTTTATAGTCTAAAATAACCATTAACAGTTTTGACTAGATTTAAATACCTATTCATATAAAAATTGATGAGAATGTACGATACACTTTTCAAAACGTGTAGAGTATTCAAAAATATTATTTTTTCCTATTATAAAAATAAAATAAATATCTATAAGAATATGTTTTTATAAATTCAACTTCGATTACTAAATACCAATAATACGTTTAATTGCTAATTAAAAGGACTTTTTCAGTAATAAATATAAAATTTATGTATATCGTTTTGTATAATTATATTGTATTGATAAATGCACGCAAAAACCAATCTCAGACCAATATTCATATTAATTTATACTTTTTAAATAATAAATAAATACAATCATGAAATGGAGCTCAAATTGTACGTTTTGTTCAGACTATAGTCACTTATACATCCAAAAATGATTATGCGAAAATAATTTATTTTTCAACTTTGAAAAAACTTACATTTTAACACATTACGAGTATATAGTTAATTCTAATGAACCAAATAAAATAAATCTATGTATACGCGAAAATTGTTTAGTTCAAAATGTATATTTTGCGTTGGCAAGCTCTTACCTGGCAGTTGACTCGACAGCTCACACTGTACAAAGGCAAAAAAAACACAGAGTTTATATATTAAGACAAGAGTCATTAAATGGGAAATGGGAAACTTCTACAGATGTTATGTAATCTCCTATATAAACATAGTGTTAACTCCCACAAAGGATGATAAAAAAGGATACCGCTAGTACCTACCACTGTAAAAATATATCAGTCTTACAATATATCAATACATATTATAATACAAAAGTATAAACTTAAAAGTTAAAACAAAAATTGTTTGAAAAATATAAAAATTTAATAAAAAAATAGTCATAACTCATAATTATTTACAATATTATTTAGAAGATAAACTCTAAACGTGAAATTTCTCCGTATATATGTTACCGGCAATGTGTTAAATCCGGTATTATATAGAAATCCTAGGTATTCTATAGAATACCAAAAATGAACAGGAAAAGTATAGCATGTAATACAATGACTAGGTATTCTATAAATCACCTAATTCAAGTAGGAAAAGTATATATAATTATTAAATATAAAATTTAGATTTGTACCTAGTGTATTTCTGTAATCAATGATTAATGATTATTTTGACGATTATGCTATCGCATACAACACGTGAGCGATGTATTATCGTTATTATTAGCTAATCGTATTATTACCACGTTATTCGTGTAAATGGAAAAATTCAATATATGTCATTAAAAATATTATTTCTTTTCACTTTTGTAAAATTGTTTGTCGCATTAAGATACATTAAAATGTCTGAACATATTTATGTTGAACTAAAGAAAAGTTGAAAAGAGTCGAAAATACTGTTAATTTATCGAATGATAAATTGCAAATATCAATCTAAAAAATGCTTATGTGTAAAAAATATTATTTTATGTAGTTCTAAATGTCATGCTACAATAAATAAATAAAAATAAATAATAAACAATAAAAGATAATAAACATATTTTGATTTAACACATTACCTAGAAATCCTAGGAATTATATAGAATACCTAAGCATAATATAAATTAACATTCAAATTTAATACATTGCCAAATAGTTCAAGAAATTCTATAGAATTCCTAGGGAATTTATAGAGTGCCTATATTCACTACTTTGCCGGTAACATATATATTGAATTTTTTGTATAAAGTATAAATTCATATTTTTAAACTGTTTTTGTTTGTCTGTGTTTTTTCGATACCATACTTATTATTATCGCTGACATTTTGTAGTGCAAATGCCGATATAAACCTATAATATAGTATATAATATGAACAAAACGAGGCTTCAAGAATTGTTTAGCCACGAGGCTCCTACAATTCAGTGGTCGGCCTCGATGATTACACCACCGAAAGAATAAATATGAATAATCGTGGAGAATTGCCTAAAGAAGAGGTGACCATACAAGATGTAAATATTTGAGTTGTATTTACGTATTTAAGAAAAATATAATATTATAACACGTGAAAATTATATTATCACTGACGACGAAGCGTTTACACAACAATTGATATTAGGATAAATGATATTACAATCACTATCGTTAGGTTATAATAAGGATTTATTTATTATATAGGGTAACTATATAATAATAATACTGAGACAAACACGATATAACAAAATCGTGGTACAATTTGTATAATAATATGATATATTATAATAAAGAAAACAATATTTACGTGACTCCGTTCCCATATGGATATTACTGATGGCAGGTAACGAATTGACGGCGACAATTAGGCCACTGGTCAGCTGTTTCTTCCAGTATGCGACAGCACAACAACGGGCAACCAAAAGAACGATAATATAATAATTGATAGCGGACGACACTTACAGTAAGTTTACACACGCCGACCGATTGTTACACGACGGAAATCGCAACACACGCTATTATTTAAAGTCAACGATAAACGGGACGACCACGCATCAATACAAAGACGACTGCGAGACACAATATATATATATATATATATATATGTGTGTGTGTGTTTATGACTCTGAACGCGAGTCAATATAAGGTGTTCTAAGTTACCGGTCCAATCGCAACACATAAGAACCCGAACTTGTTAAAAGACGGGTTTAACGCGATCGCACTCTTAGAAAGATTTACACTTTGACATAAAAAAGACGAACAGAGTCTGAGGCGGCAACGTGACGACGGCTTGTTAACTCTAAAGCGTCGCACGGAGAAGTGACTTTTCTACATGCCGGTGGCTTCGACATCACCAAAAATATGCTATCTGAAATTAGTGGCCAATGACTTTATATCACGTGAGGTAGGGGATATCTTGAACGTAATCTTTACGGCTTTTATAATTCCGTAAAGATATTTGATTATGAGGGCCGTCGATCTACTAATCCGTCATTACTATCGGGAAATCGAACTCAAAAATAACATATCATAAGGGCCATCGACTACAGAGGAGAGGAGTCGCGATTAGGGCGGCTATAAAATCTATTTTTAATTTATTGCACCCGATAACTTGGGCGAACAAGAATATTTATACATCGTATAAACCGTTGCACACGAATTCCGTCCCGAAATCCATTTTCCACATGAACTGTGTACCAAAATATTAATCGAGTACACGAATTGCGTCTCAACGTAAAAACATATTTTTCCTGCAAATTGTCAAAAGCAAATTATAACTATCGGTAGGTTAAAAATATAGTTTTTTTTTTTTTTGTTTTTTGCAATTAGAAATAGGTATGTAAATTAAATTAATATTTAAAAAATTATAAGACGTAAAAACATAGTTTACCTTGCCGTATACAAACTAAAAGTATAATATGCATAAAAGTTACCTTACCATTTGAAATAGAACTGGGAAAAAAATATAATTATAAAATAGTCGTATAGATAAAGTCGGACGCAACTCGTGTAGTCTTTCGATAAAATCGGACACAACTCGTGTACCTTCTTATCGATTTTTATGTATCGGGACGCAATTAATTTGCAGCCGCATAAACGCTCTATTCAAGTATTTGTATTGTATATATTTATTATATCCAAGTTATGATAATTTTTAACTTTTTGAGTTTGCCCACATTAAGTGGTTGCCCAAAAAACCAAAATTAGTAGTAAAATTATGATACCAAAAAAAAGTTTTTATTTTGCACGCGTGAATCATACAATTGAAAAAAAATGTTAAATTATTTTATAAATAAAACTAAATATAACATACTAAATAAAATTACTTTTTGTGTGTGGAAGGTATACAAAAGTTGTAATTGCTCGTTGTCTTAGCTGAAAGTGGCACACGGTTCAAGCTTATTAGATGGACTACCTTCGTTAACCTCTCGTGTGTATCCTAACGCTATGATAAAATAAAAATTGCCCACATAAACCGAACCAAGTGCCCATATTATGCGATTTTTTTTTTTTAAATTGTTGGTTTACTGTTGGAATTAGGACCAGACCATTTTGCCCGAATTAACCGGTGCCCACATTAAGCGGAATCCACTGTATATGGAATGTAAGAATATTCCAACAACCGCGACGTGATTTCGCATTCCACTCTACTTAAAATATAATATTATAGAGGCGAACGAAAGTGACGAAAAATAAACGCGCACGGACCACAACGTTTACGACTGGTCGCAATGAATCTAGAGACTCTAGAGAAGGCATGTTGAAAATCAAATACAACGTCGGACGATCGCGACACGGCGTGAGCAATAAACGGCAAATATATATGTAATAAGTAGGGCTGGGATTTATATGTAAATACATATTTTTAGTGAAACACGATAAATTAATTATTGCAAATGATAAATTCGTTTCACGTAATTTGCAATAAAATAAGACATATTTTATTTTACATATTTTTACATATTTCGTCATAAATACATATTTTTACATACTTTGTAAAATTTTCGATTTTTTTTTACATACTTCGTAAATTTTGACAATTTTGATGGTTTAGTAATATTTTATATTTTATTTCGATAACGGTACTCGACAAATTGTAAGTGTATAATGCATATAGGAAATAAGTAGGTTAAAATAAATATTAATAACTTGATTTTAGTTTATCTTATCTGTTTCTGTTCAATAACCATATCTTAATGATTTTAGATTAAACTTTATGTTCAACAATTATTTGACAAAATATATTTATGAATTTACTTTGTAATGTGGAACGCTCCTTTAGTAGGCATAAGTCAGTGTTAAGACCAAATCGCCGTACATTTAATTTTGAAAATTTAAAACAATATATGGTTTGTCATTGTTTCCCTTACGATTGATTAAACATCAATTTATTGTATTTCAATTTTTCTTAGTACATAATTTTTATTTTATACAACATATTTTTTATTTTATACTACATATTTTGGCAATTTTAAT